TGTAAAAATACTATCATCATATAATTTTATCAAAAATATTTACATTCATTTTTAAGCATCAGCGATCGCGAAAGAAATATCGAATCGCTTTTTATTACACAATTAACGACCTCATACATCCGATGGCCAATTACAGCAGTTTGTTCTCATACGAATGAAAAAAAGTTGCCGGACAACTTTAAATCGAGAACCCTGGACACAACAATACAATCAAACGAACTCCTGCGATATTCATGGACTTCAATAAGTGATATACTTAAATTGAAAGAAATAATTACTTCGGTAATGATAAAAAAAGTGAGGACAATAGACTGGTCTATTTCGACCTTCAGTACTTGATTCGGTATTCAATCAAATAATTAGAAAAAAAAACAAAAACAGGGTTATTGTAACTTGATGAAAAGTATCATGATAATATTAAAATGTATTGCCCGATGTACATCTTATATATATAAAAATGAATCGCAAAATGTGTTGGTAAGCGCATAACTCAACAACGCCTGAACCAATTTGGCCAATTATTTTTTAAAATATTTGTTGAAGTCCAAGTACGGTTCTTACGGCGAAAAAAAATCGAATAATTGCCGGGAAAACCCCAAAAACAGCTCAACAAACGTTTTCTAACTAAAACGTAGAATCAATTTGAGCTTTATTGCTATTATATAAAGTTCACATTAAATTACAAGCATTCACTGTATACTCCTTCTAAACGATTATTCGGATTTTGATAAATCTTTCTGAAGTTTGTTAAGGAAATTTTCTAGGATATATGTGATTATAAAATACTGGAATGTATGTGCAATATTGTAGAAATAAATGGAAAAAATTGCAAAAAACGACATGTCATTGTTTGCATTGAAAACAAATGAAAAACTATCATCTGCCAAAGATTTCAATTTGCTTATGAACCTAGCTAGACAATATAGAATATGTATAATAAATTTATGATTATGAATAAGAAAATGAAATGTCTACATCATTATTGCCAAAAAGCAGCTGGACGTGCAGAAATTAATAATATAAAATACAGTATATGTATGGCAGATTAAATGATACACATATGACAGGATAAGACAATTAATTCGCTCAAAATATAAAATTAAGTATTAATCAGGGCCGGTCCTGCCTTTAATGAGATGCACGCAAAAAATACGAGCGCACGTCTTAGGGGGCTCCAACACAAGATTCGTATATTAAATTTTCAATAGTTTTTTTTAATATATAATTTCTTTGCATCTTTTACTAATCTTTCCACAATATTTTTAAAATTCGTAAAAATTTCACTTTATACCAACAAATGGAAAGTAAAGATGAATACATACAATTTCGGCCCTCACGATATCGATTAGGAGAAGTTTAAGATGCAATTTTGGAATCTTAAATAATAAAAATTAAATTAATTTAATCCAGCATGAAGTACCAGTGTTATGTTAGTTATGGTTATGTTATACCGTTTAGAAGACTTCAATTTCCAATATAGTGTGGGAAATGAGACTCATCATTTTATTTAAAGCAGCTCTACATTTAAAATTGCTCATATTAGAAATGTATATACATTTTGGCGTGGAGAGTAATTTAAAAAACAATAATTATTATTTTTAGCAAAACGGCTAAATATTAGTATATTATATTAAACAATTGTAGGCATGGGTACAGGACAACGTCTGTCGGGTCATCTAGTTTTTAAATATTTTATTATTATTAAGTAGAGCTGAATATTATATTCATTCATATCTCGTGATAGTTGGCAAATATGTACAAAACTATGAAACGCACTACTACCAGCGCCAGCAGGCAGGCAGCTCAAGAAGAAGAGGGTAACTTCAAGGTTACGTCGACGGCGTTCCGGCCGTACACGGTGAGGTATCTGACAATGAAAACGCCGCGGGCGTTTAAGGTACAATCAACACGTTCAGTTCAAATAACATAACACATTACTTGCTCGTATAAACTTCGTATTTCAATCGAGTCGAAGACTTGAAGAGCAATATTGTTAATTTGTCGAGAAATTGATTCTGTATTATGTGGTATCGTCTATATTGAGAGAAAGATACTACAAAGGTATTAATAATTTTGTTAAACAAATAGCATGGTTTTATCAATTTAAGAATGAAATTAGAAACTTCTATAACTACAATAAATACAACAATGTTTTAAATTTTATTTTTAAATTTTAAAAATAAAAATGATAATAAAAAATGTGCGAATGTGACATGGATGCGGGGCTTTTAGAATATATATATAAGGTTGTCAAATATCTCCCTTCCGCCTTTTTGTATTATAAACCAAGAGCAAAAAAGCGGAAGGGAGATATTTGACAACCTAATACA